TGTCAGTATATCGGCTTGCCCGTATGGGATGTACTAGCAAGCCGATATACTGCCAGGAAGATTCAGTGAAATACCACGACACTCCGCAGTGCTGTTGTAGTTCATTGAGAACTACAAGCTGACGAGCAAGCTGTCAAAGCGGGGGCTGGTACTTTCATAACATGTTAAACCCTGAAAATGGGTGTAACATGTTATGAAAGGTGAACTTCTCCTTTAAACAAGGGAGTGCCTAACAATGACTGTGATTTCTCGGAGCTGTATCTTCACCTATAGGCTCCCATGGTCCAGCTGTTGTTAGTGCTCCCTATTCTCCAATGTAGCAGGCACTGGGTGCCGGAGCTGCGGGATCACGTGACTAAACCAGAGCAGAATAAGGATAGTTTATAGAAGTATACACTTTCTCTTTTTTTTTTTTTTTCTTTCCTTAACAGGTGACGCAGGATAGGTAGGAGTGGGATGGAACATAAAATAGTTAGGCTTTTCTTCTCCTTTAAATGTATATTATTATACAGTATTTATAAAGCGCCAATAGTTCGCTCAGCGCTGTACATTACAAAGGGGGACGGAACATGTGACAGAACAATACCAATACAATGCAAAACATGAGGGGATCGAGGGCCCTGCTCCTTGGAGCTTACAATCTAGGAGATAAACTCTAGTTCATGCCCTTAATGACTTGTTAACACTTACCCCCATGACCTGCTTTCTGAGAAAAACAGGACACACATCCACCACCCATGCTAACCCTGTCTCATTTTGACAAAAAAGCCTTTTTTTTTTTTTCTTTTTCCCTAGTTTATAAAAAAAAGGCTGCTAGTATAATTACTCACAGCAAGCCTAGCTTGTCACACAAATCCAGATTCAAAATTATAACAAATTATAGAGAAAAGAAAAAGAAGAGAGAAAAAGTATGTAAAAAAAAAAAAATACAATGATGATGAAGTTAAATTGTGCACTGTTTGGTGTTGCAGGTCGACAGTCTCTGGCAGTAATAAATCCAAGAAACAGAGCAAACTTATCAGGTAAGTGATCTAATAGGCAATCATTTCAAATGTAACCAAGTTTTTTTTGTTTTTCTTTTTTCATGTTGTATCGGGAAAGCAATGACTGAGTCCTGTATGCTGTGCACCACAATCTGGGGATTATTAATAGAAAAGAGAACAATGCAGGGGCACTGTTAGATGATTGCTCTAATGGCATGGGTTACTTGATGACAAGTCCACTTTGTGTGATCTGTTACATTAAGCTGTATGCTGGCTAAGTCTGGTCTTACTGGTCAAATTTTTTTTTTCCTTGCAGCTGCACCAGCCAAACCCAAAATGACTGCACCAGGTGAGTCTGAGCAAAACCGCAGCTAACTGTTTTATTTTTATTAAAAATGTCAGTTGCTGACAAAATGGTGGCCTTGAGGCATCCTGTACTCTGTCTGCACGCCCCCACCCCCCCCCACCCCCCCCCCCCCCCACCACCCACCACCACCCTTACCACAGAGCTGCAAGTCAAATTGCCAGCATTCCCTATAATAGCATTGCATATATGCTGAGAAATCTGGTTATAGGTATATTTGGTTCATGTTTACCTAAATCAGTGGTTCTCAACCTTCCTAATGCCGCGACCCTTTAATACAGTTCCTCATGTTGTGGTGACCCCCAACCATAAAATTATTTTCGTTTCTACTTCATAACTGTAATTTTGCTACTATTATGAATCGCAATGTAAATATCTGATATGCAGGATGTATTTTCATTGTTACAAATTGTACATAATTAAAGCATAGTGATCACAAAACAATATGTAATTATATATTGTGAAATATTTATTTCTAATTACAAATAAATGAAATTTTGTCTTGAAGCACGGTGTAGCAAGGGTCATTCGACCCTCCCAAAGGGTTTGCGACTCACAGGTTGAGAACCGCTGACCTAAAGGGATGCACACATTGGAGTTTTTCTTGCTACAGCACTGCTAAGGTGTATGTATAGACTGCCATTTTTTTTACCTCTCCTATTGAGATTGGTAGTTGCCTGGCTTTCAAGGGTCCAACAGTTTGGGGGGGTCATGTGCAAAATCTGATGCACACAAAAAAACAATCAGATATTGGGTTGTATTGTCAAAATTTAATTGAACAAGCTGAATTTGGAAGCTGATTAGCTACCATGCACAGCTGCAACAGATTCCCAGTGCAGTAGTTTTAGTAAATACCCCCCTTTGGGTCACAGGCCTGAAAGAGCTGTAGAAATGAGGCATTCAGAAATCCATTTTACAGTATGCTTGTTCTGGGTCTGTCTCAAAAGTAAGGAAGCCAAATGCAGCCTTCAACAAACTGCTTTAATGCCACTTCCCAATAGCAACTGCTTTCCTTTCTCTCCCCTACCACCAATCCCCACATTTTTTGTTCCCTTTTCTCCATAGAGAAGAGAAGGTCAATGCCTGGTCACACCGATTTCTTAGCATCTATGCCATTTAATTTATATTTATTCATATCAAATTTCCCATTTACGGTTTAGCACCCACTCAGCCAGCAGGCACAAAGAAGCGTGCTGCCTGGGACTTGAAGGGTCAGGTCAATGATATGAAAGACAAAGTGACAACTTACAAGGGAAAGATGCAGTGCCTCTCTGGAGAGAACGCTCGTCTTCTGAACACCAAGGAACAGCTTGCGAAGCAAGTGGATATACTGAGTATTGAAAATGCTGATCTCAGCCAACAGCTAAGGTAATTTCAGGGGCGCTGCGCAATGTCTGACAATATACTACCTCAATTGCTAAAAAACCTTCTAGACCAGTGGTCTCCAAACTGCAGCCCGTGGGCCGAATGCAGCCCTTTGCTTGCCTCTATCTGGCCCACGGGGAACTATTCCTCCCACTGATACAAACTAGGAGGCACCATTTTCTTCCATTGGCACCAACTATGGGGCATTTTGCCTTTTTCGGACACCAATGATGGGGCACAGTTCCTCCCACTGATATAAACAATTAGGTACTATTCCTCCAACTAATACCAAGGATGGGGCACTATTCCTTCCTCTGATACCAGTGATGGGGCACTATTCATCCCACTGAGACCAATGATGGAGCACTTTTATTCATCCAACTGACAGCAATGATGGAACACTTTTACTCCCACTAATACTAATGATGGGGCACTATTCATTCCTCCCACTAATACCAATGATGGGGCACTATTCCTCCCACTGATACCAATGATGGAGACACTACTCCTCCCACTGATACCAATGATGGGACACTATTCCTCCTGACCCAATGACTGGGGCACTATTCCTGCCATGATGATGGGGCACTATTCCTCCCACTAATATCAATGATGGGGCACTATTCCTCCCACTGATACCAATGATGGGGCACTATTCCTCCCACTGATACCAATGATGGGGCACTATTCCTCCCACTGATACCAATGATGGGGCACTATTCCTCCCACTGAATACCAATGATGGGGCACTATTCCTCCCACTGACAACCAATGATGGGGCACTATTCCTCCCACTGATACCAATGATGGGGCACTATTCCTCCCCACTGATACCAACTGATGGGGCACTATTCCTCCCACTGATACCAATGATGGGGCACTATTCCTCCCACTGATACCAATGATGGGGCACTATTCCTCCCACTAATACCAATGATGGGGCACTATTCCTCCCACTAATACCAATGATGGGCACTATTTCCTCCCACTAATATCAATGATGGGGCACTATTCCTCCCACTAATACCAATGATGGGGCACTGTTTCCTCCCACTAACACAATGATGGGGCACTGTTCACAAAACAGGATACATGTAGAATGGGGGGCTGCAATCCATAAGCCACGGTCTATCGACCGGGAGACCTCGAACAGGACCCTGTGCCACCAGACCCTCAGTGCACAGCTGAGGACAGAGGGTGGGATGAGGACCTTCAAAATTAACTTTTCAAGTTAACCCAAAAGTCCTAGCAACCTATCACCAGCTTGTTAATATGAAAAGTCACGCTGACAACCTCCCTCCCCAACCATCCAAACCTGTACTGACTTCCACTCTCTCCTCTGTGTACACAGGTAGATTACTGCTTGGGACACTGCTATGAGAGGAGAGGGGGGGGTGGCAGAAGACGCTGCTGGGGGGCGGGGGTTCGGGGGTAAGAAGGCCAGAGGTCACTGTTATGGGGGAAAGGGGGGGGCAGAGGACACAGCTGTGGGGGGGAGGTGATGTGAAGGGAGCAGAGGACACTGCTATGGGCAGGACCACCCCCATAGCAATGTCTTTTACTGCCCTTCACATCACCTCCTACGGTAGTGTCCTCTTCACCCCCCCCCCCCCCCCCCCCCCCCCCCCCCCCCCCCCCCCCCCCCCCCCCCCCCCCCCCCCCCCCCCCCCCCCCCCCCCCCCTTCCCCCATAGCAGTGTTCCCCGCACCCCCTCCCTTTCCCTTCCCTCCCATGGACAGCTATTTTAAAAAATATGAATTCCCAGCAAGCTGCTGGGGATTGATTTGGATTTTATCGCACCCCCTCCACCCCCCCCCCCCCCCCCCCCCCCCCCCCCCCCCCCCGAACCCCCACCCTGGTGTGCTTAGGCAGTCTTATGCTGGGTGCCAGCTCGTCTCTGCAAATCTTCCCTCCAATGCAGAGTGCCTTTCAGAACCAAAGCAAGTATGAATAAGCCCTAATAGTCCTGAAATATATTTCTGGCAGCACCATCTGAAAAACTGAACAATCAAGTCACCCAGGTATGCTCCCCATGATAGAATGGATTATAAACAGGAAAAGTCTCATTTGTATCCATCTTCCAAGATTTTTCTCAGGGGTGCCATCAGTGTCTACACAGAAGAGATTTTCCAATAAGAGTCCTTTTGTGCAGTATATTGTTGGTTTAGCACAATTATAAACACCTAACAGAGATACTTCCATCTAACAAAATAAATTCTGCCTGGAGTTGAGTTGTAAATAGTGCTATGATGGTGACTAGAGATATATGATCGTATCGTGTTTTTGCCAGAACTGTGGAATCAAAGCTGAAGTCCGAACAGCAGAAGCTGGCGAACTTGGAGAGAGAGGTTCGGCGTCTGACTGGCCTTTGCCAGAAACAGGAAACTGAGTTGTCTAATGAGAAAAATACTGTACAGGAGTTACGGGAGACCAGTCACAGTCTTACAGAACAGCTAAAGCATAAGGAGGTAGGTGGGGGTTTTGTTTTTTTTTAATTTTCTGCATTACTGGGGTGTTCTGATGTTCAATTAACACGTCTGTCCACCACACTGCCCCGTACTACATCACTGACCTAATATCCAAGTACCGCCCAACACGCACACTCCGCTCCTCACAAGACCTCCTTCTCTCTAGTTCCCTGGTCTCCTCCTCCCATGCCTGCCTCCAGGACTTCTCCAGGGTGTCACCCATCCTCTGGAACTCCCTGCCCCAACCCATCAGATTATCACCTACTCTCCTCTCCTTTAGGCGCACCCTGAAAACCCATCTCTTCAGGGAAGCCTACACCACCCCCTGCTAACTTGCCGATCTCCTCCACTCTTCCTACCACTCCATCCCCCACAGCTATCTCCTCCTGTGCCACCATCCCCTCCCTCCTAGATTGTAAGCTCCAAGGAGCAGGGCCCTCAATCCCCTCATGTTTTGCATTGTATTGGTATTGTTCTGTCACATGTTCTGTCCCCCTTTGTAATATACAGCGCTGAGCGAACTATTGGCGCTTTATAAATACTGTATATTAATAATAATGTCTTGTGTGGTTTACTTCCTCTTGCACCTTACTTTTGGTCCATCACTATGGTAGGTGGCTTCATAAACCAGTAGTAGAGGTGTGGGACAGGCCAGTGCAAGCAACTCTGGGAGATTCCAGACTAAACTCGCCGTACTCTGGTATCTGCGCTAACAGCAGGACTGGGGCTAAGGTACCCATATGCCTTGTAAGTATACATAAAAGCCGGCACTCTTTCACGGTGCTGATGTGTTTCAGCCAGGAATGGGTTTACTCCTAGCCAAAGAGTAAGGCCATTCCTGGCTGAAACTCGTAAACACTGTTCTAGCTGTGTTTTTTTTCACCCCATTCTCTAGTTCAGCCTTTCTCAACCAGGGGTGCCTTGAGGTTTCTTCAGGAGTGCCTTGGCAAAATGTCTAAAAGTGCCCAAAACTTGTACACAAGCCAGCGGGTGGAACAAGCCTGCCTTTTAGTTGCACAAAGTCATAGGATCTCATTGTGCACCATTACGACTTTCTGACCAACGGCGTCCTGACAACCCAACCAATGACATCAGTTGATAAGCAGGGTGTCAGCTGCCTGCGCAGCATCCTAGTTTGACCTTCCCCCGCCCCTCTCCATCAATGCTGGGGTCACATTAGCTCAGTGATGGAGAAAAAATGAGGGAGAAAAGAAACATTGGAATACTAGTCAGTACCAGTGTGCAGAAGTGTATTTGCTTTGGAAGAATAAATTCACATTTTAGAATTGGGTGTCTCAGGACTGTCCATAATTTAAAGGGTGCCTCAGGACTGCCCATACTTTTAAGGGGTGCCTTGACTGAAAAAAGGTTGAGAAACAATGCTCTAGTTAAACAAAAAAAAATAAATAAAAAATTGTATAGCCTATTGACGAGTGCCAGCTTTTATGTACAACTATGAGAGATCGTTGCTGGTTTTTAAGTGTGCCTATGCCCAGGCTAGACATTGACATATTTTATATATATTTTTAAAGTGATACTAAAGGTTCACATTATTTATTCAAATTTTTTTTGTTGTTAAGTAACAATCCTGTCATACTTAACCGGCTCTATGCAATGGTTTTGAACAGAGCAGCCCTGATCCTCCTCGGGTTCTCTGCTTATGCTCCTGGCTCCCTCCCCCTGCTGAGTGGCCCCCGAGCAAGCCACTTGCTATAGGAGCACTCCTGTATGTTCGCTCCCATGTGTTTGACACAGAGCACAGCTCAGCCCCACCTACCACTCCCTCCTCACTGGCTGTGATTGACAACAGGGTGAGCCAACGGCTCCAGCTCTTGTGTCTCTGCAATGAGGAGGCAGAGATCCAGGAGAGCCGCTGGATCCAGGTTCAGGTAAGTTTTGGAGGGGGGGCTAAGGGGAAGCTGCACTCAGAAGGTTGTTACTTTCATGCATAAAATGCATGAAGGTCAAAAAGCCTTCAGAACAATTTTAACAAGCAGTAAATATATCTAAACTTAAATCTGGCATTCCTTTTTTTCTATAGCAAAAACTGATTTGTCTGGAGGGAGAAAACTCCAGACTGAAAACACTTGTGAGTGATCAGAGTGCAGAGATCTCTTCCCTGAAACATACTGTAGAAGACAGGGATACACAAGTGCATGCGCTGGAGACTGAGAGGAGGAGGTTGCATAACACGTCCAGGAGCTAAAGGTAAGACCTATCACTATGTATTCTGCATTTCTCAGAAGTATCTACGTAATATGTTATGGGTCTCCTTACGGGTTTTCTTCTCCCCATCACAGGGCAATATACGTGTATTTTGCAGAGTGAGGCCAGCCCTCCAATCTGAGAAGGCCCTTCCTGCTGGAAATGTCCTCTTCTCTCCGAATGACGAGAAGGCCATTGTTCTAACAAAGGTGGAGGAGGTAAGCCATTACATGACATGATTGCATTTCGTATAAAGTGCCCCTGTACTATTAACCTCCTCGGTGGTATGATTATTTCCGATTTTTTTTGTGCTGAAAGCGGTACCATTTTTTGCATGGAAATATGTAGTTTTTTATTGTAGGCTGTAAATTTTAGGAATAACTCACTTAAATCTGTACGAACAAGAGTCTAGTAAACATCCCGGGTAGGATAAAATTTGAAACACGAAATCATAAATTATAATTTAATAATCACAAAAAATAATATAATAATAAATTTAATTCAATAATATAATCAAACCAAAAACACTGAAATTTTAAATATAGCGCCAAGTTCGCACATCACTGAGCAAAGTCGCAAAATCGTTTTCAGTGTCTGATGATGAATTTCCCCACAAATCATTATCACTCAATTCTGCAAGTGGTTCTGATTTACTATCGCTGTTCTCTAGCCGGTCTAAAACCGCTTTTGACGTAAAGGGACGTTTTTTGGACACCATGGACGTTTCTAAGTTTCCAGGCAGAAAGAACAGTAAAAATGCAGGCAGGGCGCCGGACAAAGCACTCGGGACAAAATGTATGTGAAATGCATTGAAACAGCAATGTTTTACTATGTAATGATCATTTTAAAAAAAAAAAGACATTTTTTAAAAATTTCAAATTTGCTGCCGGTTCCGGCGCCCGTACGTCCCGACATCACAGGGACCGGAACACGGAAGCCGGATGCCGGCATCGGCCGGAGGAGATGGCCGGGGACGCTGCAGGGGACACATCACGGGAGCGAAGGACAAGGTAAGTGCTGCAGGGACTCCCTGAGCAACGCCGCATGGTAAGCCCGAGTGTAGCTCGGGGTTACCGCTCTTGGTACTGACATTTTACCCCGAGCTACACTCGGGAATACCGCTAAGGAGGTTAAAATGCAGGGGGTTTAGTCACCTAAAGGATATGCATACTCATTACCTCCTTCAATATATACAGCTAGCCTTCTGCCTTGGTCAGCTCTCATTACTGCGCTTGGTATTTAAAGTGCACTTTCATTCACCAGGCAGATTGGACTCTGCTGAGATCCATCTCTTGCAAATCAGCATTTAGCCAATCAGAACTCTAGTTTTTGCCTTGCTCTGTTTGCATAAAGCTGGCCATAGAAGAATTGAATTGAAATTCGGCCGGGTCAGCAAGGACTGGCTGAATTTCAATCCATCTATGGCCAGTCCTGTTCAAGTGCTGTCCATCTACTGATGACTGCTCACGAATGGGCTTGCTGGAAAACTTTATTTTTGCAGACGTGGTAACGCACAAGGTCAGAATAGCACCAGTTGCACAGCTCTCGATGTACACAGGACGATATCTTTTGGCACACTGCCTTATGAAGGTCGGTGCTCCTTGTGACTGTGCATGCAGCCTTGTGCTGCCATCTATTGGCCTGTTACAAAACTAGTCTGAAAACTTTTTTTTTTTTTTTATACCAACTCGTAAAGCTCAATGCCAGGTAAACCACAAACACTGTGGTTGGAATTTGATGTTTAACCTGCAAAAGGATTTGAATAGCATTCACGCTGGACAGAAGTACAAATACTTGACAGAGAAACAAGGTCCAGAAGCCACCCCAGCAAGGCCACATTGATGGGGTCACCCCCTGTACTCTCCCTCCTGCGTGCAGCCTTGTGCTTCCATCTGTTTGCGTTCTACAAAACTAGTCTCTACTTTTTGATACCACCTCGTAATAGTCAACTTCACTTTGTAATGAAGTTGTCCTTTTCGTACAGCCCCCCCTCCCCACGGGAGCAGGCAGCCCCATTCATTCCTATGGGGATAGCTGTACTTCAGGTGGTTGCTAGAGGCTGCCATAAGTAGGGCTAACCATAGGCATGAATAGAACCACAGAGCACATGACTGAAGAGGAGCCGTCTAGGTCCATGTCGAAGGGGATTTCACTGGATCACGGCTGAAGGTAAGTAGAAAACCAGGCTACCTGCAGTCAGGGTTTTAGGGACTATCATAGAGGAGAGCTTCTCTAAAGGTTTCCTTTACCCATCTTCAGTTAAATGTGTGTTTTATATCAAAGAAGGCATACCATAGGTCCATGCTTTTGTATGGCATGCTGATTTCCCCCTGTACTGAATACAAATGTTTGGTAGACCTTTGTCATGACATCTTATCATTGAAGACACAATGGGGGAGACTTACTAAAACTGGAGAGTGCAAAACTTGGTACAGCTCTACATAGAAACCAGTCAGCTTCCAGATTTTATTAGTAACCGCTTCCCGTCCGTCCTATAGCAGAAGTACTGCTACAGAGTGGAACGGGGTGCGCAAAATCACGTGTATATATACGTGATTTTGCATTTCTGGGTAGGGGTCGTGCGCGTGCCACCAGCCACGGCTGTCAATCACCGGGGTGCGGGTGCTGGCCCAGTGATTATTCACCGGCGCCTGGTGATCGCCGAGCAAATTTCATTTGGGTGTTAGGGTTGCATTGACCACGCAATTGTAAGTTAGTTAATGTAATGCTCGCAGTCCCGCTATAAGTAACGCTAAAAATCCAGGCCTGTAAATGTCAAGAAAGGGGGAAATCCTCAGGATGGGCAAGGGGTTAAAGCCTAATTGAACAATCTGAAGTTAGAAGCTGATTGGCTCCCATGCACGCTGCACCAGATTCTGAGTGCTCCGGTTTTAGTAAATCTCGCCCAATGTATTCTGTGACTTTGCAAACTCGCATTTGATTTGTATCCTTTCCTTTTTTTTTTTCTTCAGTCCCACATTGGCAGAGAGAAGAGCCAATCTGTGAATATATGACTTTAATTTTGACTGCGTCTTCCCGCCGACCACTGGCCAGGCAGCTGTGTTTGAGGAGATTTCATTGCTGGTCCAGGTAGATCCTGACTCCGTCATCATCCTGTGTTGTATATGTTTCCTGGTTTCATCTGTGCCGATTACACTATCCTTTCCCCCTAATTAGTCTGCTCTTGACGGGTATCCAGTGTGTATATTTGCATACGGACAGACTGGCAGCGGAAAAAAAAAACCTACACCATGGAGGGTCCGGACAACGTCTCTGTGGAGACAATGGGGATGATCCCTCGGGCCATTCGGCAGATTTTCAGCTGTGCAGAGGAGCTGAAGATAAAGGGGTGGCAGGTGAGAATACAGGCTGTGCATAGAGATGATCAGCATAGAGATGATCAGCAACTAAGTAGCTACTTCAGCTTTTTCACTGCCTGCTCTTTGCCTTCCTATAGTACAAATTCACAGCAAGTTTTCTTGAAATCTATAACGAGACTATCAAGGATCTGCTGGTGAACCGGCCTGACAAGAAGCAGGAATACGACATCCGCAAAGTAAATAACACCAGCAATGAAGTCTACGTCACCAACCTGCGCTATGTGGAGGTCTCCAGTGTAGAGGAGGTAAGAAGCTGAAGCTCACAATGGTTTTTGTTCATTACTTGACTCTTCCCCCAGCCATTGACTGGACAGTGAGGAGTAGCAGACGATGGACGAGTTCTTCTGTTGGTCTGGCTTATCCAGCAAAATATTTTAGCTGCATCAAAACAAGATGTGCAAAGTCTTTACTGTTTGTTTTACCTAGAAAGCAGCCACAGCTTGTGTAGAAAAGCCAGTGTCCTGCTGCAGAGGAGGACCCTTGCATTCTGTCTGTAAGCAGTGGTCTCTCTGCAGAGGTCCAACACACCACCTGCTATGTCAGACCTATAGATTTGCAACCAGCAAACCTGCTCCTTGGTATTTGGGAGCGCTCTAGCTCTGGCAAAGCAGGGAGTGTATAACAAAAAGAAAAAAAAAGCCTCCTGCACAACAGTGTGATAGTCCAGTACAGGTATTGAAGATACCTCCACGTCGTGGAATGTCCTTCTCCACCTGAAACCCCCGGGCCTCACTAAATGCCAATTTAAGCTGGCTACACATGTACTATTGGTGGCAAAACAAATCATAGCGAAAGCTTGGAAAAACAGTTCATACCTTTTACAGAAGTTCACCACCTCCTAGACTTTTTCTTTATTAATGAAAAGCTCTCTTGTGGAGTCTGTGTAGATGAGCTACACGTATGGTGGACGTGCCCACGGCTAGTGGGCTTTTGGTCCAGAGTCTATGGCCTATTGTCGACCCTTTTTCACTCTTACCGTAGAGATCCTCGTCATGCGCTCCTCCATTGCCCACTTTCTGGCCTCTTGTCCCACCAGCAGAGACTGGCTACCTGTCTTTTTATAGCGGCTAAAAGGGCCATTGCTGAGGCCTGGAAGAAACCAACTGTTCAGATTGCGGAGGTGAGGAATATTATGACCACCCTCGTGATTCATTAAAAAATGTTGAGTATCCTTAATGATTCTCATCCTCGGTTCCTGAAAATGTGGAGCCCTTGGTGGTCTTGCGCTCACCCTTCACTTTCCGAATAGTTTGGGTTCGTACCGCTTTTAAGGGGGGTCCTTGCACTCAGATTCTCTTACCTCTGATTCTTTCTTCCTAACCTTTTTTTTTTTTTTTTTTTTTTTTAACTTCTAACTGTACTCCTCCTCTTCTCTTTGCTCTTCTGTGATGTTATCCCCCCTCCCCACCCCTACCTTCCCACAGCTCTCTGCTGCGATTTACCTTGGCCGTGTATTTTACTCAGGTTCATCTCGCTCTAATTTGGGCGTGTTCTTGTTGAAGGCTAATCTGTCTGTGTTGTTGATTGTTTTGTATATTTATCAATTGATCCCCTGCGAGGGTCTTTCTTTTCTAACTCATTGCTCTTTATTATTATACAGGATTTATATAGCGCCAACAGTTTGCTCAGCGCTTTACAATATAGTGGGAGACAATACAGCAACAGTACAGTTCAATACAAGAGGGATAGGAGGGCCCTGATCCTCAGAGCTTACAATTTAGGAGGGAGGGGCTAGTGGTACAAAAGGTAGTAACTGTGGGTGATGGACTGGTTGGAAGAGTAGAAGATTCCATTATTAGCTGATGGCAGGATAGGCTTCCTTGAAGAGAGAGGTTTTCAGAGATCGCCTAAAAGTGAACAGAGTAGGAGATAGTCTGATAAATTGGGGTAGAGAGTTCCAGAGGATGTGGGAGGCTCTGGAAAAGTCCTGGAGACGAGCATGGGAGGAGGAGACAAGGGAGCTAGAGAGTAGGAGGTCTTGCGAGGAGCGGAGAGTATGGTTTGGGTGACATTATTTCTTCAAACAAGATAAAAGTGAAAAACCAATAAAAACTATTGTGCAAGAAAAGCTCTCCAGCATTCTTTCAGACACCCATGAGAGATTTATTTCAAACCTGGACTCCTTGGATCCAACGTGCCCATCCTTCTATATCAAATAGGCAGCTTTTCATTACTAGAATGACAGAGGCTCCATAACCTGTGTCCGAGTGCTTTTTATGTCCTTCTTTTACTTCCTCTTCGATCTTCTTGTTGTTTTTTTTCTACAGGATCTCCCGCAGGGACAAATTGCGGATAGTCCCATGTAACCCTTGGTTCCATTATATACTTTGTGTATTTTATATACTAATATTCCACTCACTAATGCTTGATATCGGGAAATAGATGTATGGATCCTCATCTGTTCCACATGCTGATCCATTGACATAATGTGGTCAATGTAATTCTTGACATACCATTTCCTTTATCACTGGTTACAGTTTTATTATTCTGTGCACAACCGCTTTTGGTTTGTTGGCTCTTAATGTACTCATTTTGCCTGTCCACGTAATAGCGGTTGCAATTGTATCCTCTAAAATCACAATTTTTTCAAATATAAATTTATTGAAAGTGAAGATAACTTCACATCACTGGGGTATATTGCTTCAAGCAGGGTGGATTTGATTTAAATCAAACTGATTTAAATCACGATTTAAATCACTAGTCAGTAAGGCTTGATTTAAATCCTAGTTTTCTACATAAAGACTAATTCTTGCCGGTATAACTTTAATATACAAGTAGATGAAGATTTTTAGAATAACAACTTTTCATATTAGTTTTTTTATCCCCAGTTTAATAGGTTAATCATTCATATTTGGACAACTTTTCTGTTGTACTTAGGAAGGAGAAAAATAATCATTACCTTAATAATAACAATTTAAATAGATTTATTCAACTGAAACAATAACATTCCAGCATCTGTGATTTGCTTAAACATCCATGTTTGGTAACTAATTTGGCTAAACAAAATATATATATTTTAGGAAACTTAGACTGTCAGCCCCTTCCTCCTCCTCACACTGAGCTTCACTTTCTTCTTGTGCAGATCTATTCCACTCCAAACAATCAGAAAAATATTGTTTTCTATTCTATTCACTGAACTTCTTGAAACTTGGCACTGAAGGGGTTGATTCTGTATTCATAGGTTTGTAGAAGTTAAAATGATGAAGGTCTTTTTCTTAACTCTGTTCATGTTAAAAATTAAACATATACAACCTTCTTCTACATAAATAAAAAAACTAATCTTTATTTCATGATGGAATAACCTTTGTATTGTAATATATTTTCCTCAAAAATCATTTTATTTAAAAAAAATCTGATTATTTTTATTTTTTTTATCATTGATTTTTATCCACCCTGGCTTCAAGCCTTGCTGCTGCCCTCTTGGACTGGGGGTGTCTTGAAGCCTAGCTAGTGCTTTACCCCATGGTATTTAATAGAAATCATCATAAATTATACTCCCAAACAAGAATTAGAATTGCTCGTGTTACTTGTCTGTAGCCCAGATTTTTCATAAATACTTTGGGATAATGCACTCGGCTGGAGTGCCCTCTTTTTGTAATTTCTTAAAGGAGGGAATGTATTGGACCTTTGCCGTGTGATCGCTGAGCTGAGACTAAGCTGAAAAGCTTTTACCCTGTTTACATGCAGCAGAGAAGGCTCTTTGCTTTCCATGGGGAAGCAGTGGTCTCTCTGCAGAGGTCTGATACACCCTCCTTCTGACTCAGAACTAGTTTAATTAGCAGGGAACATGGTAGCAGATTTTTTTTTTCTTTAGGCCTTCCTCTTTAAGGGATGTGCCAGACCTCTGCAGAGAGACCACATCCTTCACACACAGAGCAAGTGTCCTATGCAGCATGCTGGCAGGAAGCAGGTTTTCCTAATAAGGCTGTGGCTACTTTTATTTTTTTTTACTTTTTCTTTAACTTTATCAATACATATATAGCATACAATATATATAGAGTGCTGTTCATAATGCATACAGAAAGTAACAGGCATCATGTCTGCATATGTGACATAAAGGAAAACTCAATTCAAAGAAAGAAAAGATTGATTTGGATGGGGGGGATATTTGAAAGTGTGGGATGGAGATGTTTGATTCAACCAACTATACTTTATAGTGGGCAGAAGGCATGAGTACAGTCTTGATGAATTGTCTATATGAGCAACAACGTGGACGAGTTGATATTTGAAATCCATGTTATATGAAGAGGAGAAGCGGCTGTGAGCGTTTGGGAAAGATGGGTGACATGCAAAGCTGAGGCTACTTTTTAAAGAAAACTACCAGATACGAGTTTGCACGCCTTTTTGTTTTGTTGCACTTGGAATGTGTTTGGTGGATTTAAATTACAACTTCAGCTGGGCTTTAATTCTTTCACTGCCAGTTCTGTAGTTTGTATGGACCTGACAGCCAGGGGGGGTTTATGCACAATCTGTTGGCTGCAGCCACCAGGATTGTGCATAAAACAGGCCGGAAGACTCCTGCATGTCAGATGGAAGAAGTCGGGAGGCTGCAGTGCCACCCAATGGCTGCCACACCCCGGTAACAGCGCCACCATCATGTATTCTGGGCTCCATGGGCCCGGGGCTGACATGGCGGGTGGGAGGGGAGAGAGAAGTGGACACACATCCACTCTCCTCCCCTTCTTGCTGTAACCCGGAAAGCAATGTATTTGACGTCACAGGGTCATCCTGTCCCTTTTTGTTCTATCCGGGGAGGAATGCATTGTAATACATCCAGTGGAGCCCAAACGAGACATGCAGCGTCTCTTAGACCCTGCATGTCTCATGAAAGAGAACCTGTCACGTAAAGATTTATCACATAAGGGACTTTGTGTCCCCTACGTGATGGGAAAAAAAGTGAAGCATTTTTATTTTAATTAAAAAAATAGTTACACCCAAGAACATAACATCCCACCCCCACATATACGTAAACGCACACGTCTGAGGTGCCTATATGTCAAATGTTGATTGCGATACCCATGTTACATATCGCTGCGCACGCCAGTGTGAGAGCAAAAATTCTAGCACCAGACCTCCTCTGTAACACTAAACTGATGACCTGTAGAGCTGTTGAAGCGTCATCCATAGAAAATATCGGGTACTGAAGTTTGTCACTATTTTATGGGTGCGCACACATTTAAGGTTTGATATGTTGGGTGTCTGTTTACTCGGTGCAACCTCATCTTTTATATTTTAACAAAAATGTGGGTAATTTATTGCATTTACTTGCCCTAAAATTCACTTTAAGTGTGTTGTGTTTTTCTTTTTTTTTTTTTTTTTTTTTTTTTTTTTTTTTTTTTTTTTGTGCTGCTTTGACCTTTTGCAGTAATATCATGTGATGCAAAACATTTGGAACTACCACTATTTTATATTCTAGGGTGTAGATAATAATAAATCTGAATGCTTCTTTTCATCCCAGGTGCATGACCTCCTCCATGCAGCTAAAACACATCGCTCTGTGGCCAAAACGGCGCTTAACGACCGGTCGTCTCGCAGCCACAGTGTTTTCCAGCTGAAAATTGAGGGCGAGAACAAGCTAAGAGATGTCCATACATCGTGTAAGTTTCTGCAGAGGTTAGGAGTACCAGGAGAGACTTGGTAACTCAAATGTACTTACTACAACCAAATGGCTAAATACACAGATGAAATGCATAGAAGGGGATATTTTACCCACCAAAGGATGTGTTTCTGAACTTGTTTTTCTGAGATTTACCGCACAGCCCTGTCTGGCAGGCCAGGGGACCAGCATTTACTCTGCTGCTGTTAGTGGTATTAAACCCAAAAGCAAACATTTTATTATATTACAGCTTACCAATTCCTAGCTGTGATGGCTGCATTCGTTTTTGGGTTTTTTTTCCTTTGCTTTCACCTGGTGATTCAGCAAGTAAGTTGGTAGTTTTTCAACAGAACAAGCTCTCCTGCAAATGTATCGGTTAACTTTAGGACCGCCATGCACTACGGAGGGGCGGCCCGTACAGGCACAGTGATGTACCGGTATGTTGCTGGCCTCTTCTGGGTACAGGGCGCACACCCTGCACTCCAACTCCCACTGTGATTAGAGACTGCAAGATTCTGTCTACAGGTCCTGGGTATTACTGATTGGCTGTGTCCAATCATAGGTCAGAGCTCTGTGTTGACAATCAACCTAGGGCTCTGTGCAGAGGAAACAATCGTTTGTTTGTTTCTGCAAAGTAGGGAGAAGGAATAAATAGATTTTTAGGAAAAAGTAGCACATGATACACACATTAACACTTGTTAGGCACACAATTAACCTCTTGATTACCCCAAGATCTTAATGCCTTTTCAGCCAGTGTCATTAGTATAGTGGCAGTGTATAGTATTAATAAAGAAAACGAATGCAGTCACCACAATGAATGATTGGTAAGCTGCCCCCTAGTAAAACACATCTTGCACATAGTTAACCCTTTGATCGCCTTTCACATTAACCCCTTCCTGTCCAGTGCCATTAGTACAGTGTCAGTGCTTTCTTTTATTTTTTTTAGCACTGATCACTGTATTGGTGTCACTGAGGATGTCAGTGACACCAAGTTAGTTCCCCCCAGTGTCAGAATTCCCGCCGCAGTCCTGATAAAAGTCACCGATCGCTGCCATTACTAGTAGAAAAAAAAAATCCCAGTTTTATTATTATTGTACAGGATTTATATTGCCAACCGTTTGTGCAACGCTTTACTTTATCTATAGCGGTCCTAAGCCTGATTGATCTTGCTGGGAGCGAGCGTCTGGACCGGTCGTTATCAACTGGTGATCGTTTAAAGGAAACGCAGAGCATCAACACTTCACTGTCCACCCTGGGGATGGTTATCACCTCTCTGTGCAACAAAGTGAGTACATGCTGTGTTGCTTTGCCTGTGTATTTAAAGTAGAGCTCCACCCAAAAGGGGAAGTTCCGCTTTAAGCCTTTGTCCCCCGCTCCCCCATTAAGGATTGGCACCTTTGGGGAGTGGGCACCTGAATTTGACAGGTACTCCCTCCCACTTCTGCTGCGATCGCCTTAGGCGATCGGAAGCGGAAGTTGTACTCCCCCCCCCCCCCCCCCCCCCCCCCCCTCGTAGTCTTTTGGGGCATGTGACAGGTCCTAGAAGACTACGGGGCCATTCAAAAAGCACAGTGCTTCTAACACATGCGCAGTGGGCACCCGGCTCTGAAGCTGCAAGCTGTCACAGCCGGATGCCCACACTGAAGATGCCGGCGCCAGGGAGAGAAGACGGCCGGTGAGACCAGCCATGGTGAGGACACCACTGGACTGAGGAATAGGTAAGTGACTGTCCTTTAAAAGTCAGCAGCTACAGTTTTTGAAGCTGCTGACTTTTTTTTATTTTTTTTTTTCACCTGGAACTCTGCTTTAATTATGCATGAAGCATGTACATGTCCTTGTCTTTTTTTTTTTTTTTTTTTTTTTAATAATTTTTTTTTTAATGGTTGCCATTAAAGCAGAACTTCAGGTTTTAGTTAACTTCCTATCCACCCTCATACTTAAAAGAAAATCTAAAGAGATGTATAGTATGTGTTTACATTCAACCCTTTTCCCCCAAGGGTCTTTCAGCCTCTCCAGTGATTTCACAGGTCCGTTTACTTCTCCTGCAGCTGGTGGCGGTCTTTTCTCATGCACTGAACCCACGACACGTAATGACACATTAGGATTAGTAGTTTTCTGAGCCCAGGTTGGGGCTGATGCTGCACCTCCAATGGGGGGAGTGTGCGCATGACACTCTCAGCTGAGGGAAAGGGAACTGAATTGAAGTGGGTCGTTCCACCTGGTGGTGACCTCTGATCTGGTGGCAGAAATGACTGGTGGGGGACAGCTATGGATTGAAGTGTAGGTGTTGCAGTGAAAGCTTTTTATTCCTGATAATGTTGGCCTACGGATCTTTTGTTATAAATGAAAAAAAATGAGTTTTACTTTAATTAGTATGTATTCAGAATTGCACTGTATGGGTGACCTTTCTTATTATCCCTCTTACAGGACTCCCATATACCCTACAGAAACAGCAAACTGACTTATCTTCTACAGAACAGTTTGGGAGGAAACTCAAAAGTGTAAGTTATCTTTTTTTTTTTTTTTTTTTTTTTTTTTCTAGTCTTTCTTATTCTAGTGCAACATAAGGGCTTATTCACATGGCCGAGCTCCAAGGTGCATGACCTCGAAATCAGACCGTGTGCATCCGGGTCTGTGCACCCTTCCCTGCATGCCTGTCAAACTGCTGCATCTCCATCGACTAATATAGGCTGCCTGCATGGAGCTTCATGCTGCTCCCAGGCAGGGGCGGACTGACCATTTGGCAACTCGGGCACTGCCTGAGGGCCTGGGGTCAGTAGGGGGCCCCATGAGATGCTCCTGGTACCTTTTTCATAGGCTTTTTTGAATTTGGGCAAGGACACAGGGGCCCCATGATCCCCTATTGCCCGGGGGGCCCCATGAGTTGTCAGTCTGCCCCTGCTCCCAGGTGCAAACAACTGACTCTTAGATCCTATCTGGACCTCAGTCTCCATGTGAATGAGCCCCGTCTGTGCAGCCGCCACATCTCCATTGAGCAATGTTGGCTACCTGCATAGAGCTCCACACTGCTCCGGAAGTATGAACAGCTCTTTATGGTGTATGGGCCTCTGCACCCCCATGAATGGGCCCTAAAATCTGTAGTTTGTTTGTTTGCTTTTTGGGAAGAGGGGACTCTCATTTGATTACCATCTAATTGCTCTGTTCCAGGTTGATGTTTGTGAATATTTCTCCTTTAGAGGAAAACTTTGCAGAATCTTTGAACTCTTTACGTTTTGCCAGCAAGGTAAGCGAGTCATTTTAGTGTTTTCCTTCTGGTTTAACACCTTTATTTTGATGCATAGTTTAGTTACTGGGTTTTTCTGCAGATGTTCTTCACTGGCATCTGTCCCCTGGTTGTTTAGGGCTGCTAGTCTTCGGCCATCTTGATTGGCCAGTGCGGGATGACGTCACTCCATGCAGGAGTGCAGTCATTCCGCCACACAGGCCTTGTGCTGGAATGTAAACTGAACTTTGCATGTTCATCTCCATGTACATATTACAGAAGACTGTACGCATGCAGGTAGGTACATTTTAATGCGGAGGAAGAGACTATGCATATATTTTTTGCAGCAAAAAGCCTGCCTTCCAGTTTTATTTTAGACTTTACACAGAAATTTTAAGAATCGCATAACTCTTTAAATTGCAACAAAGTTTCCGCTGTGACATCATTTTAGTTCACGAAAGTTTTGAGTCTTGTTTATGGTTCAACAGTTAAAGGCACAAGCCATATATTTTACATTCACAAGTAGAAAACGAAGAACATATAAAAAACTCACGGGATGAGATGCATAATATACAGTAAAAGGTCATGGCAGATCTATACTGCATTGTGTTTTCGTAGATTATCCTGAAATTTAAATGAAAATGTGCCCATATGGGAGATCCTCTTGGGCAAGCCAGGAAGTTATTTATGCAAGATGGAGGAAATTATTGGCAAAACTATATTGTGCAATATTGTACTAAATGGGAGATGAGAGAAAGAGGGGAAGAAACTGAATGTAGAAAAGAAAAAAGGAGAAAGAAAGAGGTGTGTAGGAAAAGGGTTCCCAGAGGTGGTGGAATGGGAAGGGGTCTGCATGGCCTGGCTGAGCACCCAACCCCATACGGGATCATTCCATCTACAAAGAAAGGACGGTGCGATCAAGGTTCATGTGACGATTGTAGGAATTTTAGCATGGGTGTCGTTAAGTATTACGGAGAGTTGCTTGTGCACCATGATGACCATCATTCTCTTATTTTACTTTGACAAAGTTGATGGTTGTTTGTGACATCATTTTGAATTGCTAGTAGATTTTTTTTTTTTTTGCTTTTGCTTGGAACTGTTCTAATTTGGACAGAGATGTGATTTGCCCAGACATTCTGTGTAATTTACTTTCTAATTTGGTTGACAACACAGTGGAGAAGATTTACTAAAACTGGTGCATACAGAATCTGGTTCAGCCGTGCATAGTAACCAATCAGCTTCCAATTTTATTGTCGAGGCTTTTGTAACCTATTACATGCTACACCCATATTCAGGGTGTACCATTGTTCTGTCTCTCCAATTTAAGCATAGAAAAAGTGTGATCTCTGTAGCTTACAATTGTGATGAGATAGCGATAACTCCAATCTTGGTTGGATACCACAGTCAGTGACTCAATCGAGATGATATCTTGTAGATCTTGTGACGTTTATTCCATAAGCTTAGAGAATCTTACAACAATGAACATCTGATAGGTCAAAAGATCATAATGTGACCTGCTTCATGACATGAGGCTAGCTTGCTGCAATGCATTTCTGGGAAAAAGGGTGGGCTATCTGTACAGCATTAACTAAACCAAAAGAAAAGGAGGAGCAAAACAAAATATAGAAAACACTTAAAGGCATATGACAGTCATGTGAAACATGACAACCATGTTACAGATGCATCTGCCCCCGATCCCTCGTTTTCACTGCAAGCAGGGGATCTTCTCTGCCCCCCCCCCCCCCCCCCCCCCGGCCGGTCGCATCATTAATTCAGAGTTCAGTGAATGTGAAAACTACAAGTACTGACAGCCTTTGCTGCTGTCAGCTTGTAGTGTAATTGGTTCGTTGAGTCTTCCTGACAGTGTGTTAACTTCCTTCTCATACGAGGTGTGAGATGACCGCTTACACTGACAGTCTGCAAGAGCCCTGCATAGCACCTGCAATCTAATGATCGCGTGTTCAATGCTTTGCAAGCTCACAGTAAAAAAAAAAAAAATAAGTGCATATTATTTACCTGCAAAAAGATGTAAATCTTTTATTATTCTATTTAGCTGACGTTAGAAAATGATTGGTTGCTATGCACAGCTGCACCAGATTCTGTGTGCTCCAGTTTTAGTAAATCTCCACCTAATGCTTTTTTTTTTGCTCTGAAACTGTCAGCCATGCCTGCTGGACTACAGATCTCTGCCTTGCCCTGCCTCTCTAAACGCATTTATGGATTTCTTTCCCAGCACAATGATGCTGCTGATTCGACTCCAATGTGCCTGCATGTACTCTGTGTAGGTAAATGGCTCTTGGGAAGTGTAGTGCAATAGGAGTGGAGCTCTCAGCAGCTAGTCCTGAAAAAATTCAAAAAGCCTGGTTATGACATCAGACAGCGTAAAAAATGTTCTTAACCCCTTCACACCTAAGGGTAAAACAAATCTAAATGCCTAAGTACAATTCTGCAACGTTGACGTGTTAGTAAAACCGTACATATAGTCACAACTACTTTGTACATCCAGGTGGATTATACCTTGTTTTTTTCAAGACAAATTGGGCTTTCATTTGGTGGTAAATGGTCATGGATAGCTCCTAATTTTTTTTTTATTATTAAAGGAAAACTGGGCCAAAATAGTAAAAAAAAAATCATTTTTTTAATTTAACTGTGTGTTTCTTGTTACGACCATAACCTACCACCAAAGAACAACCCAAAATACATTCTCCAGTTCTTGACGATCGCAGCGATACCATATATGTGTATGTTATTTGTTGTTTGTACCCGTAGTACAGTCCAGAAACAATAGTGCGCATTTTGTTTTTGTCTTTTTTTTTTTTTTACATAAAACACACTGTCACTATTGACATTAACACTAACTGACACCAATTTTTTTTTTTAATCCTGACCTTTGACCCTGACCTTTGCCCTTGACCCTGACCTTGGCCCAAACACTAACCCTGGTACAGAACTAGATCAAACCTTGATCTAGGTATTTTTCTTTATTTTTTCTTTTATTTTTTAATATTTATTTATCTTTTTTTTTTTTTTTTTACAAACTTTTTTTTTATCTCTCTATGTCAGGAGTTCGAGAGATACAATGTATCTCTCTTCTCCATTCATAGAGAGAGAGAAAACAAGGGGGCCGGGTTGCACAGTGATTGATCACTGTGATAGCCAATCAGAGGCTATCACAGCGATCACGTGACCCGGAATCGGGAGTCCCGGGTCCCGATCGTTAGAACGGGACCCGGGGCTCTCAGCGACACCGTGGTCTTGGTGCTGGGAGGGCGCCGAGCGGCGCGCTCCCAGCACAAAGACAGGTACGCAAATATGCGGCCCCACGGAAAAAAGCCCAGGTCCGTGAGGCCGCATATTTGTGTTACGTCGGCGTCAAGGGGTTAATCACTACAAGAAAAAAGTGAAAGAATAAAATAATGCTGGGATGAGTTTCAGAGTGGAAGGGGGAGGTTTGGGGCTAATGCATGTTCCACCTTATCACTTCTTCTATAAAATGCAGAAACCCGGAATTATTTTTAGTTTGCTCTGGTATTTAGCCCTACGGGGTTTTGGAGGGGGTTTGTTGGCTTTGGGGATAATGTAAAAAAAACAAACTATATCTTTTTGATTGCAGGTCAACGAATGTGTGATTGGCACAGCACGGGCAAACAGAAAATAATCGTCTCATCTTCTCAACCACATGAAAGCATGAATTTTAATATGTATTTTTATTATACCCCGGACCATAGCCTAGCATTTAAAGTAAACCTGTATTGTTTAGGATTTATGCACATGGACGCATTTGCCCACACAGCGTAAAAACCAGGAGTATTTCAGCAGCCAGGAGGCACTGAGGGTGGTACGTGCAGCCCGCTGCCATCAGCCTGTCAAATCAATGATAGGCTGAAATAGACAGCAGCTGTACACACATCTGAGTGGTACTCTCGTACAGGGGCCGTCCGTATGCATGCAGGGATGCATGCCCCAAATGCAGAAAGTCTTCGTTTGGGACGTACAGCCTTGTACATGAGTATTGCTCAGATGTTCATACAACCACCAGGGGCGGACTGACAACTCATGGGGCCCCCAGGCAATAGCGGATCATGGGGCCCCTGTGTCCTTGCCCAAACTCAAAAAAGCCTATGAAAAAGGTACCAGGGCATCTCATGGGGCCCCCTACTGACCCCGGGCCCTCAGGCAGTGCCCGAGTTTCTAAATGGTCAGTCCGCCCCTGACCACCACTGTCTATTTCATCCGGTCATTGACTTTCACAGGCTGCTGGCAGCAGGCTCTCTATGTACCACATGTACCTCCTAGGCACCAAAATACTCACAATTTTTACATTGTATGGGCAGATGCATCCCTGTGTATGAGCCCTATAAGGCAGTTTTTTTTACTTTTGTTGCAGAATTGAAATGTCCTGTATTGTATGCAGAATGAGCACACCGAAAAAAAAATGTATCCATCGACAACAGGAGAAAATGACTTTAATATGTATATTTATTGTACCCCGGACCAATAGCCTAGCATTTAAAATAAACCTGTATTGTTTAAGATAGCGTCTTACTTTTGTGGCAGAAGAGGAAGTCTTGCATGTTTATGCATATTCTCTGCAGCTATTCTGGTTTTTAATCTGTTAAAAAATTCTTTATCTTTCTACAAATATATAAAGGCTTTAACCAATAAGGCCAAAGCAAAGCGGGAAGTATAGAAACCCATGTTACCCAATCAGGATTCATCTCTCCTGGACATCCATGTGCTGAAATACTCTTGGTCCGCTTTGTGGGCATTGTTGCCTTGTTGAGTGAGCCCATTACTGTTTCATATTTCTTTTTTTCCCATGACAGCTATAACGGCAATCTTCTTATGGTCTGTTTTTGTGCTTTAATTTTTATGGATGTGTGTACATATGTAAATATGCGTGATGTGTTATTGTAAATAAATTTGCCATCGTTTATTAGTATCTGGAGTTTCGTGTCCTAATAATAATATTGCTGTGGGCAATTCCCTGTATGAGATTCTGCTTTTCATCTTTATTTCAGGTACTTCTATAGCGCCGTCCATTTACGCAGCACTTTACATATATATTGTACATTCACATCAGTCCCTAACCCTCAAGGGGTGTACAATCTAAGGTCCCTAACTCACATTCATACATACACATACTAGGGACAATTTAGACAGGAGCCAATTACCTACCAGCATGTCTTTGGAGTGTGGGAGGAAACCAGAGTACCCGGAGGAAACTCAAGCAGGCACAGGGAGAACATACAAACTCCAGGCAGGTGGTGCCATGGCTGGGATTCGAACCAACGACCCTAGTACTGCCAGGCGGAAGTGCTAACCATTTAGCCACTGTGCTGCCCACATCTTATAGTTTTATATAGTGAAATTGAACTCAAAGTGAAGATTTGTTCTCTTGTAGGGGACATCTAGGAAGGTTCATTTTTTAATTTTTAAGCAGTACACTTTAAAACTGTACCTACATTTCCCATGAGGCATTGCAAAGATGGGAAGTTACTGACTTGCAGAGGCATGATGGAACTTGTAGTCCTGCAGCAGCTGGAGAGCCGCAGGTTGGCTACCCCTGGGCTAAGTAATTAGAATGAGTGCACAGGCAGGATTTTTAATACAGAATAGACATGCTTTGTCTTTTCTGCATTAAAACTACTTACCTGCCTGTCCATCCTTGTACAGTGAATGTACACGCAGCTCACTGTACAAATTCGGCAATGCTGAATCTGACTGAACCCGTGCATGCGTGGGAGTGAGGTCACCCTCGCCTGGCCATGTCAGCGTTTGGCGATCGAGACCCAGAAGAAGGCCACCCAAAGATGTCAGCAGCCGGGCAGGGAGCTTGAGGACGCCGCATCGCTGGAACTGAGGTGAGTATTGTTCCGCTTTAAAGTATAACTAAATGCAGAACTTGCAGAGGTTTCCTATCTCTTCCTGTTTTAAAGGAAAAAGGAAGGCCTGCACTACTGTAGAAATCACCATGATACCTGATGATGGTAGCGTGGGATCAGGCCTATGGTCCAACCAAGCTGAGTTGAGTTAAAGTGTTCCTAAACACAGGACCCTGCATTAACTATATCTGGTCTCCCACAGTACACAAAACCCCTGACTTCTGTCTGGATAGTGCTGATTGGCCCTGTGCTGATCACATGCACTCTCCCTGATCAGCTCACAAGCAAAAATGGTAAATAAAAGCGAAGTCCAAGAGATTGCATATACCTCATTGAACTTTACAAGACAGCAGTTACAATTTCTAATATTCTTTCAATTCCTTCAGGAAAAAAAAAGCAATGCAGAGCTTTTTATGTCTTGTGTGAGACTGCTGCTTCTCATGTCTAGTCTTGTGAGATTTGGTGATGTCACTGCTGTACTGACTTGCTACCCTACTTGCTGGAGAGATAGCTGTACTTGAGGCCCTGTACTGAAAGAATCTTCCTGTATCCCTGATCACCGCCACACCAGTACACCATATGTCTCCACACCAGTACAGCATATGTCTCCATACCAGTGCAGAAAGTCAGTTGTTCCGGTGATTCCTGCCACACCCAGTCAGTCTCATCAGACCAGTGTAGCCATCAACCGTGTTCCTGATCACCACCAGACCATTGCAGCCAGTAACAGTGTTCTAATCACTGCACACACCAGTACCAGTGTCACTAAAACAGTGTAGCCCTCAACAGTGTTCTTGATTGCCTCCACACCAGTACTAGTGTCATCAGACCATTGCAAGCCAGCAACAGTATTCCTAATCTGCCACAGAAGTCCCCAGTGTCACCTGACCAGTGCAGCCAGCAACAGTGTTCCTAATTCATCACCGCCACACCAGCAGCCAGCAACAGTGTTCATGATCGCTGCAACACAGTTTTCCTGATTGCTGCCACACCAATGCCAGTGACCATACAAATTCAGCTAGCAGCACTGTTCCTGATTGCTGCCACACCAGTGTCAGTAACAGTGTTCCTAAATGCTGCCACAAGCGTCCTAGTGTTAACAGATGAGTGTAAGCCAGCAACAGTGTTCCTAATTGCTGCCAACACCAGTACCAGTGACCGATATGCGTGCAGGCAGCAACAGTGTTCCTCATGGCCACCACACCAGCATCAAGCAACAGTGTTCCTGACCGTCACCACACCAGTAGCCAGCAACAGTGTTCCTAATTGCTGCAACACCAGTACCAGTGACCGATATGCGTGCAGGCAGCAACAGTGTTCCTCATGGCCACCCACACCAGCAGCAAGCAACAGTGTTCCTGACCGTCACACCACACCAGTGGCCAGCAACAGTGTTCTAATCTCTGCCACACGTGTCCAAATGTCACCAAACCAGTGTAGCCATGAACAGTGTTCCTAATTGCTGCCATACCCAGTACCAGTGACCGATATGAGTGCAGCCATCAACAGTGTTCCTGATCACCGCCACACACCAGTCCCAATGTCACCAAACCAGTGTAGCCATCAACAGTGTTCCTGATTGCTGCCAAACCAGTCCCAGTGTCGGCAATAGTGTTTCTAGTTGCTGCCACTAGAGTCCTAGTGTTAATGGATGAGTGTAGGCCAGCAGCAGTGTTCCTAATTGCTGCCAAACCAGTACCAGTGTCTTCAGCAACAGTGTTCCTAATTGCTGCCACAAGAGTCCTAGTGTTACCAGATGAGTGTAAGCCAGTAACAGTGTTCCTGATTGCCACCACACCAGCCCTAGTGCTACCAGACCAGTGTAAGTCAGCAACAGTGTCTTGCCTTTTTACAGACCATGTCTCTGCCTGCAGCCTGAACTGACCCATCTACACTTCCCATTGACTACGTTCCTGAGAGACATCAGTCCCAGTCATCCCCTGCAGACAACTGCACTCCTGAAACCAGGGGCGGACTGACCATTGGGGAACTCGGGCACTTCCCGAGGGCCTGGGGTTAGTAGGGGTCCCATGAGATGTCCCTGGTACCTTTCATAGGCTTTTTTGGGTGTGATTTGAGTGTGGGGGAGGACACGGGCCCCATGATCCCCTATTGCCCGGGGGCCCCATTAGTTGTCAGTCCGCCCCTGCCTGAAACCACCGAAACGCCTTTGTTCAGCCTTCTGTATCTCCTGGCCAGTAAACATGACATTCCTGGGGGCAGCCACATTCCAATAGGCTTGGCTTGCGTCACCTACAGGAAAGGGGAATGCTATAGGTGACACCACATTAAGCTGCATTCACCGAGATCATAGCAATCCCGCGCATATTATCATGGTATAAGTATCCTAATAGTGGAAGCTGCTTGCGCCAAAAAACGCGTTTTCCCCTTTTTAACAAAAAGATCAACAGTTGTTATAATGAGAATTAAAATATCAGATGCTGCGCTTAACCATAAACCAGGGGTGGGCAACTGTGGCCCTCCAGCTGTTGTAGAACTACAAGTCCATGAGGCATTGCAAAACTGACAGTTACAAGCATGACTCCCAAAGGCAAGGCATGATGGGACTTGTAGTTCACCAACAGCTGCAGGGCCACAGTTACCCACCCCTGCCATAAACCAACATAATTAACAGTGTATCTCATTAATCAATCATTCATCAGTAAATAATATTCTGTTACTCTGTGACAATATAACATGACAATGCAAAACAAATACAATAAAAAAAGGGAAAAATCCTTACGCAGACAGTGTCCGTTTTATATGAAGTCTT